TACATATCATGTCTTAGTAAAGCTGTATAAAAGAACAAAATAAGCTATGCGCTGGTGGCTCATACCCATAATCTGGGCTACTCGGGAGGCTGAGTTGTTAAGGTTGCAGTTTGAAGCCAGCCTGGGCAGAAAAGTCAGCAAGACTCATTTCCAATAAAATACCCCGAAAAAGCTAGAGGGCTGCTGTGGCTCAAGTGGTAGAGTGCTAGCTTTGAACAAAAGAAGCTCAGACATACCCAGGCCCTGAGTTTGAGCCCCAGGACTAGCACACACACACAAAAGAACAAAAATAAGAATCTAATGAGTCACATTGAATTCTACAAGGATTGGCACTTGCATTTTGTTTTGTTTTGTTTTTTCATAAGTAATACTACTGACTTTTCTACAAGCTCTTCTCCTGTCTGGACACATTCACTGACTGGAACAGAAGACATTCTAGGTGATACACTTTAGTTCATGTGAATAAAGAAAATGTTCTATCTTTCTTGACTCACTGTAGTTTGGAGGGTTTTTTCTTTTTCTTTTCCTTTCCTTAATTTTTTTTTTTTTAATGGTTTCTGTGTTTGTTAGGCAGGTCCTCTGGCACTTCATCCATGGCCCCAGCCCTTGGTACTTGAGTTGTTGTATATAAGATATAAAACTTTATGAACAGGCCAGGCTTAGGACCCTCATCTTCTTACTTATACTTTCTGTGTAGCTGGGATTAGTGACGTATATCACCACATATGGCCTGCTAGCTGAGATGAGACAGTCTCTGTTTTTTGTCTGAATTAGCCTTGAATCACAACCCTCTTAATTTCAACCCCTAGAGTAGTTGGAATTACAAGTGTGGACCACCATGCCTGGCTTGACTTGATTTTTTTATTTTAACAGCCCTTCTCATGACTTGAAAGCACTCTGTTCAGGCAAATTTACAGCATCTGCCATGACCAAGAAAGATCAGAAAGTGTAGAGCACTTTTCTAACTTGACCAGAGAAAAAGAACTGTATGCTAAGAAAGAAAAAAAAAAGAACCTATTAGTTAATATCAGTAAGAGCCAAACACTATGTTTTAAAATATCATATTTACTCCTTTTTTCATCTAAATGTGGCATGTAAACCTGACTATTGTATAGTTTTGTTTCTGGGAGTAAAATCTGACAGCCTCTTCAGGTGAACTTTGTGTCATTTCCCTCCCTCGAGGGACACATCACTGAATTTAGGATCCACTGTAATCCAGCAGGATTTCATCTCCAGATCCTTAATTATGTTTGCAAACATCAATAATCCATCAGCATTTTTGTAAAAGAAGTGCATCTTCACAGTGCTCAGCGTGTGTGTGGAAGGACGGGGTGGGGGTGGGGTAGTGCTGAATGTGTGTTTGGGACACACCTATCCTGACACTACAACCATTCTTTCCACTATAACCATGCTCCTTGCTACAGTAATCCTGACTGATTGTTCTTTCCAGCAGATGATGTCAAGAATTACATTGTTGGATGGAAATGTAGCCCTGAGTTTGGTTCCCAGTACTTAAAAATATGTACATACATACATGTCTGTTAAAGCATTACATTCCTCATATTGCCCTGAGTAGTTTTTAGAGTCCTAAGACATGTTTTAGAAATTCATCTGTAAAAGTTAAATTACTTTGTGATTTTGGCAATACAGTGTGTGGTTTCTTTTCTCTTTTCTTTTTTTTTTTTTTGGCCCGGCCATGGGGCCTGAACTCTGGGCCGGGGCGTTGTCCCTCAGCTCTTCAGCTCAAGGCCAACGCTCTACCACTTGAGCCACAGTGCCACTTCCGGCTTTTTTCTTTATGTGGTGCTGAGGAATCGAACCCAGGGCCTCAGGCATGCAAGGCAAGCTCTCTACCACTGAGCCACCTTCCTATCCCCCAGTGTGTGGTTTCTGTAAACAGCTTTTGGGGGTTCCATTCCATTCTTGGACTTGGAATTTGCATGAACTGAGAAGAACTTTTCCATTTTTATGTAAGAAGTCTACAGTGAATCCTCCTTTCGTTGTTCAGTGTACGTGATACATTGAACTACCTCGGCACTGTGTTAAATGTTGGTGGACCTCTGACTCTTCTGAACTCCAGCATCCTCCCAAGTTGACTACAGATTATGTGCGGTTAACGTTATTAGTATAGATTGGAAGTGGGTATTTGCTTTACAACTTGGGCCAAGTTTTATGTTTTTTTATTGAGTTACCTCTGAGGAAGTTTGAAATTTCAAATATGTCAGCAAAAATATTGATTATGAATGGGTTTTAGGTTTATAATGATCTATGATATTATGCATTTCCTACTTCCGCAGTGCCCCCATTTCAAAAATTGAGTATAAAAGCTGTCTGCAGAGTAGATTTATTCGCACTGATTCTGTTTTCCTGCACAAAATCCTTAAACATACCAGTAATGTAGAGATAGAATATATTAACTTGAGGTTGTAAACTATATTTTTAAGATTACAGTTATAACTTCTTAAGTGTGATGAAACGTCTTCCTTTTCACTCTCCTCAATAAAAATCTATCATTTATTGTACCAAAGGCTTTATGGCTGAGCAAGTGGCAGTCCCCTTGTTGGAGCAGGAATGACTCTCCAGAGAATGAATACAGCCAGCACCCTCATAGGCTTCTACACACTCTTTCTGTATTGGGGTTTTATTCTTCCCTCAGAAGTGGGGTCCTAAAGTTACTGAGCTTGGGAGTATGTGTATTTTACTTTTGTTTCCATGTTTTTGACTTTTTGGTTGAGAGTTTCCCCTTACTATGAAGATCGCAGCAACTTTACATATTAAACCATGTGTCGTAGAAAGTTAAAAGAGAGTACAAGAGAACCTGGTAATTCTTCTAATCTCCTCTCACTCCCCTTCTCCCTCCCATCTTAAAGATAATGTCTTAAGTTGACTCTGTGTGCTTTGAATTTGAGATCCACAGTTCTCTAAGACTTCTGGTCTCTAGGTGAACAATTTTTTAGATACAAGAAAATAAATGTAACTTTTCAAGTATTCTTTCCTTCAGTTTTTGTTCCTAAGATTATAAGTACATTCAAATTTAAATCAGTTTCAAGGTATATTTATGTTAGCGTGATGATTGCATTTCTTATCAGGTAGAAAATGAAGAGTTTTATTCTAGATGTTTCTGAAAGTTAATGCAAAAATGACAGGAAATGAACCAGTGGAACCTCACTAACATCGTGAGGTGATTAGTGATCATCTTGGCCTGTCTTCACAGACTTTGTTTTGTCTGTACCTAGATTCAGTAGGTGGCATAAGTTTCATGGTTTGGTTTTTCATTTCCCTTTCCTCCAGGTTTTTTGTTTTTTGGATTTTTTTAAACTCCTTTCTTAATAGATGCATAAAGTTGTAGAGTGTAGAGGCGGGATGATTTAATTTTCTTAGCACTGCCCTCTTTGGTGGTGTGTGTTCGTGTCTGCTATGTAGATCATGCTGGGAGGAGGAGCTGGATGCACATATCTTTTTCTGGGATTTGGTGACGGAGTGGTTAGCACTGATACCTGCCTGCTTAGATGGCAAGGTTGGGAGAGAGGCTCTGATTACACATACAGCAGCGTGGAGAGAGCCTGCTCCTCTTCACCCTGGTGGCTGGCCACATCTAGGTCTCAGTTTGCTTTCTAAGAACCTTTTGATTAGGAAAAATGCTGTTGTATTTTTCATGGGATTTTTTTTAATCACTTATTTTCTTGGTCTTAATAATCTAAGCTATATCCTTGATTCAGTAACAAGCTTTGGCGAGGGGCAGAATACACAGTAAGAGACTTCGATTGCAAGTGACACCTTGATTTCATGAGTATTGAGGAAGGATCTGTTTCTTGGAACCAAAGAAATAATATAAACCATAATGGCTTCTTCCTGGGTGTGTCTGGTAATGTTTATGAGGTAGATAAGATTCTTCCCATGCTATGAATGTGGGAACTCTGTTACTGAGAGCTGGTGGGATTTACTTAGGAACAACATAACTTGAAAGTAATTAATAGAGCTGACCCAAATCCAAGTAGGTTTGATTTGAGGAGTTCTTTAAATCTTCCCACAAAAATGCTTTGATTTTATATTATATTAATCTCATAGAATGACTTAGTTTTAGAAATTCTACTTACATTAAAAAAACATTGTTAACTGTCCATTTTTATTAGTTTTATTTAAAAAATAATCAGTCCTATTTCTCCCACTCCTCCTCCCTGCCCCAGGAACCAAAGATACATCACCCAAACTGACCAAGTGCTTTGTCCTATTGACTTTCATCTCCAGCCCCAAAGTTTTAGTTTTGTCTTTTAGGCAGAATTAAAGAGAATACCTAAAACTCTTGTACTGTTAGTCTCTGTGTATGCTTTGAGTTGCTGCTTTGTTCCTCCTTGAAGACTGCTCCTGGAAGTTCAGTAACGCCATGCATGGCATGCATCTGTGAAGGAGAATTATCTGCCTCAAGGCTGGTGGTAGGGCTCCTGGCAGACAAGGGAGCCCTGTGAAGAGCAGAGGGTGAGGAGTAGATCGTAGCCTGTAGAATAGAACAGGCCTAACCGGGCGCCTGTGGCTCCTGCCTGTAATCCTAGCTACTCATGAGGCTGAGATCTGAGAATCAAGGTTCAAAGCTCAAGTAGTAGAGCACTTGCCTTGAGCTAAAGAGCTGAGGGACAGCACCCCAGCCCAGAGTTCAAGCCCCATGATTGAAATAATAATAAAGAATAGAACAGGCCTGGGTGCAGAGTTTTCCCCTGCTGTGCTACTGTGCTCAGGGCTATTTACCTGCCTCCAGTTTGTCATTTTCCCACCCTTGATATCTGGCTCCCCCCATTGTCACCTTGTTCCTGGAAACTCCCCATTGACACTGAGGATGCAACAGGGACCTGAAGGTCCAGCCTGCAGGGGAAGCCAGGCGATCCAGGCAGGTTCTTCTCAGGAAAGGCCTGCTAGCCGGTGAGGCCCCACTGATTGTTTTTAGGATCAGTTTTTGCCTTCAGTGTATTTTTTAATGGACATTATTTTAATACTTGAGCTAGAACATGATGGAGCCTTCTGTGTCTGCTGACATGTAAACAGATTTGTGTGTTAAATTATAAATAATAGCCAGCATTAGTGAAATGATATCTAGAAAATACTTTATTTTTTTGTAAGGTCAGTATTTTAATGGATCACGTGTAATCCATTTTTCGATTAACTTTCCAGTCTTAAAATAAGTATTCAGCATGTGTAAGTTGATGGATTCTATAAATGTGCATCCATTCTTTTCCCCTGTATTGAACTTGGAGCTGGTGCCTGTTGACTACTTTCCCCTTTTTATTTTTAAGTTTTTGGCTAGGTGTGACAGGAATGATCAAAGATGTGACAAGATGTATGAGTTATTTCGGGGGAGAGGGGAGGTCCCATTCTCTAAGCCATCTCAAAAATTCTGAGTAATAAATTATTTCTGAGAATCCCTCATAGGCTTCCACATAACGAGCTAAATTACTTTGATATTGATGGTGTATACCAGACAACTTATATTTTTTTTCTTGTCACTTTTAGGATTCTGAGTAACAATAAAATATCGGAGCTGAAGAACGGTTCATTTTCTGGGTTAAGTCTCCTTGAAAGATTGTAAGTATTCTTTCATTATCATTTCTTCATCTTAATTTACTGAATACATTTTCAATCTAAACATATGTTACTCAAAATTTTAAAAAGTTTTTTTCCTAAATTTGTTAGACAAAATGTTAGGCATTGAGTTTTGAAAAGTAAGTCATTACTTGGGGTAGAGGTCAGCAAATGTCCCAGAAAGGGTCAGCTAGTAAATTTAGGCTTTGTGGCAGTATGGTCAGTCCCACTGACAGAGCCCTACCACGGAACCGTGAAAGCAATCACGGGCAATAAATTTAACAGTACTTAACATACCAACGTTGGGATACGCCAATATAGTGAGAACAAATGCATCAGTGTGGATGTCTTCTAATAAAACTTTATTTACAAAACCAGCCACGGGACATACTTGGCTGATTACTGTAGAGAACGTGTTGAAATTCTGAATTTCAAAGTGGTATATCTTATACGTAAATAGAAAAAAAACACATCAAGAGGAAAATTTTTCAAATGCATTTTATTCAGCTATCTATGAACCTACTAGTGTATTTTTGCCCCATTAAGTCTAGTTTTCATATGCTCCACTATGTTGCAAACAGCAATTTTGGTAAATTTTAGGACACAGATACATAATTACTTGTTTTCTGCACGTTCTTCAAGGATCCTATTTCACGCTGTCTTTCTACGTACACATTAGGATAAAATGTCAGCTGTACCGAACACCTTTATTTCTGTGAAGTTACAGACAAGTTTCACTTTTCTTCTCTTCCCTCTGCCTCACTCTCTCTCCTTTGCTTGGCTTGCCTTGACCATTTCACCAAGGGACTTCTGCCCCCAGACCCCACACTACGTTCTTACTTAGGCTGCTGATGTATTACGGAGTCACAACACACAGCAAGCTCTTTATCCTTTATGTCCCTGTGGTATCATTTACATCACTGCCTGTAAGTTAGTTAATATGTATGCACTTGTACACACATACATATGTAGCACCTGTACCCACACTTACATGCGTATACGTGCACTTAATATGTACTAAAGCATACAAGTATGTGCAGAAACACAAGACACCTGCTCTTTGCATGGCAGTCCTTGATTGTCAGATTTCTTTTTTCAGTGTGTATCGTCATATTCCACACAGTACATGAGCCTCAGAGGATGGTGGTTGCATTCTAACCTGCAGGCTTGCAGCACTAGGAGCACTATGTCCTTTGTACCATTGCCTGACTGTTGCTCAGGAATGAGAATTTGGAACACTTTGATTGAGTTGAGATGTACCAGAGATGTTGAAACAGGAATTTCTTCCCTGCCCAATGAGATACCTCTGGTATAGAAATTGTCACTGCTGACTATGGGTGGAGCTGACAGACCAGATACTGGAGTGATAGGATCACACATACAACACCACGGGGAGTTCTGGGAGGACCCTGGTAAAGCTCAATGTCCCTACACCATTAGCATGTGTCAGGCAATGAATTCCCATCAGGTTTTTGCTTCCTTGTAAAGAAAGGTTATTGAGAGAGAACCTCAAATGCAGCACATAGTAGGATATGTTACGTGCCTACTTGATTGTCAAAGGAATCTGCTTTGCCTTCTCTGGATGGGCACAAAGTAGCCTCTACTGTATGTAGAAACCCACTTTGTTGTTGGCACTTAGGCTTGATATGGTCATCCTTAGTCACTATAGACACTGTGGCCACATGTCTGATGGCGTATGCTGTGGTGTATTACTGCCTTTCTTGTAATTATTTGTTAATTTCCTTTGTCTGTGACCTGATTGTCAGCCTTTTGTTGTTAATAAATCTCTGAATATGGTGGAAACCAATTAGGCTGCTGTTGTGGGTGGTATTAAGATTCAATGACTGGTTTTAGCCAGGGGCCTTCTATAAATGAATTTTGAAATACCACCTGTCTTTGGAAGAATAGGTGTGTGTATGTGGGTGTATATACACATCTGGACACATATAGCTATGGGAGACTATCATATTAGCAAGTGCTACAGCCTAAGACCTCAGTCCTGGCCCTGGATCTGAGTGAGGTATCCTCTGTTGTCTACTCTGTTGAAGAGCATCTTTACCTATATAGCATAGCAGTTGAGTATACATTGAAATCCAGATCTCAGTCTTAGCTTTACTGTTCAAGAAAGAGAGAGAAGTGGAGGACAGAGACAGAGGTGCCCAGGTAGTGCTCACCACCTGTAGTGTCTTTGTGGGAGAGCAGTTCCTTCAAAGGAGGAAAAAGGCATGGTATGAGTGGGCATTTACTGTTCCTGCCTTGTGAAAAAGGACAGAGGAATAGAGTCAAGAGGAAGACCGTCGGTACTTCTCCTGAGTCTTTCAGGTAGAAGCCTGAGAGCTGTTGTAGTTCCAGTCCTGCCCACGCTAAGCTGACCCCATCCCTCCACTGCATGCCTCCCTTAGTGCTCTGGTGAGTTACCTGGTCTTTGAGTTCCCTGGGACCGAGGCTCTAACCACAATGTTACCTCTTCAACACTGTCCCTTTCCTGTTGGCTCAGCCTGGTACCTAAGGAAAGACACTATATTTTCATAAGTCCCTGGGAGAATTTCCTTAAGAGACATATTCAGCAAACTGGAAAGTTCACAGTCCAGATTCAGCCAATTAGAGACCTCTGGCAATAAGAGCAAGGTAACAGAACAATCATGACACCTTAGGATGTGATTTAAAAGGTATATGGTTTAGAACAAGGAGTTACTCAAATCAAAGGCAAAGTGGTGGCTATAAAATGACTGAAGTCAAGTCATAGGAAATAAGGGCTCAGGATTGGCAGAGTGGGGTAGAATCGTCTGGCTGAGTTGAACTAGCCAGCATCCTCAGCTATCAAAGAGATCTGGGGCCTAAGCCATCTTTGGAATCTCTTTTGAGTTGAAGGATCATCTGTCTTTGACTTTGTAGAGTTAAGACATTTAGATTTCCTCGTGAATCCGTTCATCCTTTTGTCTCTTCCCTATCTCCCTTCTTTTTCTCCCTCTCTCCCTTCTTCCTTGAAGAGTAACTAACATTATTCTTATATTTGTGCCATGTATTTAGTTATCTACTGATAATTAATGGCAGAATCAAAGTGTTTGACTTCCCAGTATTAACTCCACCCACAAGGATTGGACCAAGACTGCATTGATAACCCAGCATCTTTTCCAGGCTGTTGAGGGTGTTCTAGAAAGAGGACTTTGAGGATAAATTTCATAACCTCTAAAAAGGTGTGTGAAGGAAGTTGTTGTTTTTCCTGACTTTGTGCCTGGTACATGGGGTTGTGGCTGGTGTTCATCCTGAAGGCACAGTTACACGTAGAGGATGGTGACTCTATGAGATGGATAAACCCAACCTTGAAAGAGCTACTCTTTCCAACTTCTGTGATGCCAGAGAATAGTCTCCTTGATTGCTGGAGGTGTTTTGAGTGAGGGTATGATGTTTTAAAGATATTTAATCATATATGTGGTTGAAAGAACTTCTGTAGTTTTGTTAAATCAATTCTTTAGCTTCTTTTCACTTAGTTATAATGGCCCAGTGTATTCTATTTAGTTCTCTATCCTAAAGTTAACCATAGTCTTCCTAGAAATTCTGTGGCTTGGGGGGGGGTGGTATTAAACGAGAGAAACTTACTATAAATATCTTTTGGGTAATGCCTGATTAATGTGGCATTATTATATATTATATAATGTCAAGAATGTTTATTATTAAAGAAAAAGTGTATCTTTAAATCATGATACAGTGCTCAGTTATTCATGAGAGGTATTTTGTAGAAACACACACAGTTCATCATTGACCAGACTTATGTGCTGCTTTAGCTAAATCAGTTCTTCTTGTAGACACTGCTTAAAATCTGAAATGGAAAACTTACATGTTGAAAAAATGGAACTGACATTATGTGTTTCTATTTGTAGAGTTTTCTTTTTAGCTTATGCAAAACAAGTAGAAAACATATGGATTGGATTTTCTCATAAAAATCATCTCTTTGAGGTGTAAGGTTGGGGTTGCTTGGGATTGGAGCAGAGGAGACAGGAAACTAAGTTAGAGCTGATGATTCATTGTACATCCTAGGGCTTACAACTTTATATACTTAAAAAGTTGAAAATTTTTAAGTTGGGGACAGAGATAAAATTTTACTATGAAAAAGTTTAAGCATACAGAACATTGAAAAAGTGCCATAATCTCACAAATTTCAGTTTACTCTCTGATCTTTAAATTCTGTAGTTACTAGCAATTTAACATAATTTCCCTCCTATATTGGAACATGCCTGTACACTGACATATCTGCTGTATCACTTGCGATCAGCTGCAGACACAAATATACTAGTGTTAAGGAAAATGTAAATAATAGTGAACGAGAAGCAGCATTCTCTCTCTTGAGTATTGTGGTGACTTGAATATTGTGTCAACCATCATTGACTGTAAATACTCTTGTATTAAAAGTTAGTTAATTAACATAGTTAACATAGTTTTGTCTCTCAGTCTTAGGCTTTTTTTGTCCATAATTTATCTGTCCATCCCCTCCAAAATGGAGTGTCTCCTTTCTGGGCACCTTAGGGTGTTTGAGAGATCAGGACAAGTTTGATCAGGTATCCTAAATGGAAGGATGCTGAGGAGAATGTTGAAGTAATTGGAGAAGTAAAAAAGAGGCTGTAGAAAAGCAAAAGTAACCCCTGAAAACTTGTGCTTAGTGTAGTGACTCATGCTTAATAAGTGTTTATTGGTGTTACCATTGTTGCCTTCTGAAATGTCCTGTGGTCACTTCTCCTATTGGGTTTTGAGTGTTTGTATGTTTTGTTTTGTTTTCATTTTGTTTTGGGTATGTGCATGTGTGCACATATGTGTGGATCTTGGGGCTTGAACTTAGAGCTTGACTCCTGAACTTAGGTGCTGTCCTTGAGTTCCTGTGCTCAAAGCTAGCACACTTAACACTTGAGCTACATTTCTAATTCTGGCTATTTTGGTAGTTATTTGGAAAGAAGAGTCTCTGGGGCTTTTCTAGTCTGTCTTCCAACTGTTATTCTCAGATCTCAGTCTCCTGAGTAGCTAAGATTACAGGCGTGGTGAACCAGATAAGTGTTTGAATGATTTTTGAGCCTGTTCCTTCTGCTTCATGCCCTCAGAATGAAGTGGACAAAACAGGGCGCTGAGGGTCAGTTCTCAGCCCAGCTCCTGCAGGGTCACCTTACTAGCCAGCATAAGCAACTGTACCTCCCTACAAGCAGGTACTTGAAGTAACTGGGGAACACAGCTGCCTTGTTAGACAGTTGTGTGTTTGGGAATGGGGCATAAAGTCAATGTAACTTCTGTTCTATGGAGTTGTTCCTGCTGCAGTTTGTGGCCAGAGGAGGCCACACCATGGACCTGCCAGCCTGAAACCAGGCTACTCTCCTACTAACCTCCCCATGACGAAGGAGCTCCCAAGGCCATCTCTTGCCCTTCTCTGAACTTCCCATGACCTCTTAGGAGGCAGCCCGGAGACTGCTTCTACCTCAGGGGCCATCTGGGTCAAGGCAGGTGCCTGGGGATAAGGGACCCTGGACTGTGTAGCAAACCGGGCTGGGTAGGAAACTTACTTTCTGCATGATTTCTTTTCTTCTTCTCAAATTACTATACCAATGGCTTGTTACTCTTAGTAGATCTTACAAGCAGTGTGGAAGTCCAGAGAGAAGAATAGGAATTGTGAGTTTCCTTGATTATCTTCTAAGATTTATTACCATTTGAATATGCACTTGTATAATGTCCTAATAATTTTGTGATATTTTTACCTACTTGAGAAAATACCTTTAGAGGCTGAAGTGCAACCTCTCCACCCCCCCCCCCCAAAAGGATAACTATCAGTACTGAGATAGCTGTTTTCTATTATCTTAATTCCGATCAATGGTATATTCAGTAATGGTAATCAGAAGAGGGTTTGTATATGTGTTTAATAGTTACTTCCTTTTAAAATACATTATGAAATACAAGGGAGTATGTCTCCAGTTTTCTTAAGTCCGACTGCTTAGAAAGCAGATGCCTGCTGTACTCGGAGCTGGTAGGGTTTCAGAGGCAGTGTGAGGGTTGTGCCTAGGTAGGGGCTAGAATGTTAATGGTGGAACAGGATTTCCTAATGTGACCTGTGTCTTTGTGGTACCAGGTAGGCATTACTTCCAGGATGATCTTTTTTTGTTGGTTGTGGGTCTTGAACTCTGGGCCTGGGCTCTGTCCCTCAGCTCAGCTCAAGGCTAGCGCTCTACCACTTGAGCCATAGCACCACTTCCGGTTTTCTGGTGGTTAATGGAGATAAGAGTCTCATGGACTTCCTTACCTGGGATGGCTTTGAACAGCGATCTCAGATCTCAGTCTTCTGAGTAGCTAGGATTACAGGTGTGAGCTACTGGCACCCGGCCTGCCTTCCAGGATGATCTTAAACCTCGGTGAAAATAAGTAAGGGGCTCAGAAAGTCAATGTATGTGCTTTCCAGGTTTGTGTTGAGCATTCCTCTGCATACCTGAGTTGTTTTGCCAACAGTGTGGCAGCCCTAAGCCATGTATGATCATGAAGTAAAACACAGGGAACCCAAATGTGACTGTGTCAGGAAGAAACAAGGTTACCATTGTTAGGTAGATACAGACTCCCCAGAAAAAGAGCACAGGGAGAGAGATTCTGTTCATGGTCTGATATAGGCTCCCAGAGAACTAGAAACCATTAGACTCAGTGAACAAGGCTCTAGAGAGGAGCCCTGGCACACAGGCTTATGAGAGTCTTGTATAACTCTTGGTCCAGAATTATGATTCCAGGGATGTAGCACTATCTAACTACAGAAGTGTAGCTGAAAAACACTTGTAAAGAATCTCTTTAGAGATTACTGGTCCTAGGTGCTTTGAGGACAAAAGCAACCTTAATCTGCTGCCCAGAACCTTAGTTGAGAGATACACCTGCTGTGCTCACGGCAGAGCGGTGTTCATGGCAGCTTGAGGTGGAGAATAATGTGGATATGGATTTTTTGCATCTTTGCTTTGACCTGAATGCCATGACTTAGCACATATATATTTATGTCCTCACGTCATGAGAAACCTAAGGAGGAAAAAAGGAGGAAAAGCCAAAATGACCTGTGTATATTATGTCGGTACTGGGGCTTCCACTCAGGTCTAGACACAGTCTTTTTAACTTTTATTGACTCAAGACAGACTACTACTTCAGCCACAGCTGAAACTTTCAGCTTGCAGCTCTTTGGTAGTTACTTGGAGATAAAAGTCGTACAGACATTCATACCTCGTCTGGCTTTGAATTTTAGTCCTCAGATTTCAGCTTCCTGAGTGGCTAAGATTACAGGTTTGAGCCATTAACACCTGACTAGATTATGTTAATGATGCTTGTCATAAAAAAAATCATTGATAAACTTATAACTAAGTATGGCATACTAAGGAAGAAATTGTAGAAATAATGTATATGGCTTTAGTTCAGTGATAACTGTTTGTTATTAGGATATATGTACCTTTCATGAATTTTACTTTTGTTTTTATGTTGACCAAAATGAGAGACTTTGGAGTGAGATTTCTCTATCTGAATGTGTTTTTTGTTTTTTGGTCACTGCAGGTTGATCTTGGCTTAACTTGTTGGTTTTAGTTGGTTTCTCCCCCCCCATTATTGTTACTATTACTTTTGTTTGTGGTACAACAGTTAAGTGTAGCATGCCTGAGTATTTCTTGCAGTGTTGATATGTAACTGTTATGTCATTTTTCACAGGGACCTGCGGAACAATCTTATTAGTAGTATAGATCCCGGTGCCTTTTGGGGCCTTTCATCACTAAAAAGATTGTGAGTATTTAAATATGCTTTCTTATGTGCTTGAACCATTCTGTCAGATAAGTAACTCTTATTTTAGGGAGGCAAATATTTAATTTTAGAGGTTCACCTGTTCCAAAAGGACACAGGGTTTGATATGAGTAGCTTGGAAGGTGCCTAATTTGAAGAGTAGTTAGAATTGTTTGGTGCCATGCACTTGTGTCACTCTTACACTGATGCAGTCATTACTTTGTTAGTCTTACAGGCTACTACAATCTTAGGTAATTTTTTTATTTATGTCTCTTTCAAACTGTATCTTTTTATAATAATGTATAAAGTGGGGCCATTTTTTGTGAATCACATAAATGCGATGTTCATGTGTCTTTTATTTGTATTTAAATGTTATTTAGAAGTGTAAGGAATAATTTTTACTACTTCCAGTGGGAGGCAATCCCCTATTATGTTTTTTAGTCCACAGAGAGACTAGCCCTGGGGTGGAGAATCCTTTCCTTCCTAGTAGGTCCAGTTGGCTATTAAGAAGATCATTACAGGCCACACAAAGTTATCAATGCAGGCAGCTGACCAGAGCATTACGTATGTGTTCTGCCATGTACCAAATGATTCTGAGGGCCATAGGTGACTCACAGACCTGTCATTTTCCATATCCATGACATATACTGGGCACTGGCTGCTCCCCAGGCTGCCACTTCTCGGGAAGAGCCCACAGACTGATAGGAAATTGGTAGTGTCGTGGAGGAAAACTAATTTTCTCCCTTGTCCTGCTCAGTTCTTAATCAGAAACCTTATAACAAGAGAAAGATGAAGAAGATGAAAACATATAGTAACATGTGAATTTTGGGTGTATATTTGAGCAATACTTAAGAAAAGGTAGCTCGGAAATCTGCCTTAACAAATGTCCACAACAGGAATAATACTTTTTTTTTGCCAGTCATGGGCATAAACTCTGGGCTTGGGCACTGTCCCTCAGCTCTTCAGCTCAAGGCGAGCGCTCTACCACTTGAGCCAGAGCTCCACTTCTGGCTTTTTCTGCTTATGTGGTACTGAGGAATTGAACCCAGGGACTCATGCATGCAAGGCAAGCTCTCTACCACTGAGCCACCTTCCCAGACAGGAATAATACGTTTTTAAAGAAATGTCAGGCCAAAAGAAAAAGACCAAGTCTCCTCCTTGCATGTTGTGGGAAGGCAAATATATGTGAAATAGATAGTAGACATGATCTGTCCAAAACTCTTAAGGCTGGGGTTAATGTTTGCTGTAATCATTTTTCCCAGTGTACTTGCTCAAGCCCTATATTATATTTCTCTAGAAAAAATTTTAAGGAAGGACCATGTATCATTTCTTCCCGTCATCCACATGACCATATTAACACCTTTTTTTTGGTAATAGAAAAGGTACTAGTAATTCTGTGCCAAGAGAAAGGTTGAATGGAACCCAGTTTCATTGGGATGTGTTTTTAAGAAAAATACTGAATACCTTAGATTTTTCTATCTAGTTCTTTATCTTAAATGATTTCTCATCTAATTGAGTACTGACCACCATCTAATGTAAGTGAGAGAATTCCCACTCAGTAGTATCTAATTGAATTACTGGTACTGTACTAGACATCGCCTTTGTAGCTTCTCATTTTACTTCAGGCTAAGGAGTCTCTTGTGTTCTTGCCTGGGAAGGTAATTGCCATTTGTAATGTTCTTCCCAGTAGGAAATACATTCCTAATTCCAAGCAGCTGACTTGTAATTGAACTTACAGCATACAACTTACAAACTAAAGGAACCCTAAGACTCTGTGGGATGTAAAGATACCTACCCATCAGTAGTGTTGTTGGCTACTTGCTTAGCCATGCAGGAGCTTTTTTCTAAATCATTTGTTTCAGTGGTGATTCCTGCTTGACAGCAACACATAAAGTGTTTTGTAAGTATATCGTGCTTATGCCTATGTAGATAATTTGACTCAAGAAGATTAAGTGTCTTTCTGAAAATTTAAACTACCAGAAGTCATTGAAATCTAGACCCATTTTGTTTCACTTTTGCTTTATCAACACATTCACTCTGATTCTCAATTCAAGTGAAAACTCATTATCAATACCTAAATCTTTTTTAAATAGGCATAACTATAATGAAATTGTTTCCCAAAGAATCAATGGTAATTACACCATTTAAAGCATAGACTTGAGACAAGATAATGAAGAGAACCCAGAAATGATTGTTTAAGCAACAATTCACAAGATGACGCTTAATTTTCTTACACAGTAAAACTCAGAAATTAAAGGAAAGTCTACTAAAATAAAGTCCCACTCAGTTAAATACTTAGTTTCCGTGTTCTGAGGAGCTTGAGTTGTATAACAAGCACCATTGAGGATTTGTGATACTTAAGATTCTTTTAGCAAAAGTGTCTGCAGGAGAAGGAAGAATACCAGGCTTATTTAGGGAAGAACAAAATGGGTTCAGATGTTATACTCCTATAATTTGTAGTTAAACTACAATGTCTTCTGCCATTACCAAAATAGAGTTTGGAATCTTGCCATTTTAGTTTGGAAATGGATTCCTCAAAGCACTCTTCTAGAATAAGTCACGGTATAACTCAGTATGTATTTCTCCATGCAGATAATAACATAGAGGAGAAAACATGATTAAAAAATACTTTCGTGAGTTTGGCTTAAAACAATGTTCAACTCTTGTATCAAATTTCAAAGTATCTTCAAAATCTAACAGCTGATAAAAATGAAAATCCAGCCAGGTGCCAGTGGCTCATACCTGTAATTCCACTCATGAGGATGTGAGCTAAAGATCAAAGTTCAAAGCCAGTCAGAGTAGGAAAAAAACTTCCATCTTTATTTACCCAGCAGGTGCCAGACTGGAGGCATGGATCATGTAGTACAGTGCCAGCTGTGAGCAAGCCCTGGTACCTGCAGAGAAAAAACGAAATTCATTGTTAAAGGTGTTTTGGCATAGTTTGTCAGGTCCACTGAGGACTAAGGAAGAAGAGCATACTGTTTCACTCAAAGTTTCAGAAACTGACAGAAACCAACTGCTGTTGGCCAAAATGAAGTTTCACTTACAACCAGCACAGATCTCTGATCAGATATAAACTTAGCATGCGTCAAGTTAAAGAATTGTGTCCAGATACAACAGAATACTAACTAGAAGTTCTGCATAAAAGAAAACATTTTTTTAAGAGAAGAATATTTACTAGGTGACATAGGAACTAGAAAATGGGACTAAGAAAATAATTGGGCGTTACCTACATGTTGTTTAAGTCATTTGGCCTGAGATTCATTGATAGAACTGTTTATAAAATAACAGCTTAACTGAATTGTTTTTTCATTATAGTCAAAATTTCTGAGGATTTAAGGAATTAAGTTAGAAAGCATTAAGTTTCAAGTACTCTTGAGGAAATAAAAGTTCCTCCTTTTTGGTAATTGACCCTCTTATCCATTATCTCTTGTTTGCCGGATGAGGTTGAGTTAGTTCTCTAGCTACCCTGGCACAATTAACTGTGTAGGTCATCTAAGGAATTGTAGCACAGGCAGTCAGATAGATTGTCTCTTGCTCTTACTACTTCAGCTTTATCTTGAGTGATTTTGAGGGAGTTAATGCTTAAAACAAAATTAAGTAGTGTTATGTCTGTGTGCCTTAAGTGAAAGCAAGAATCACTTTCTCGAGTGCCTTTCTTATCTCACTTGAAGTGGGTAAATCTTTCCGGGATGCAGAAAAGAAAGGTCTTGCATGCTACAAAACCTGGCTGTTGTTCTTTGGTATCGAGTGTATTTGACCTGGATTAATTAAGAGAACTAATTGAAAACACATTTCCCCTTTTCCACTTTAGAGACCTGACAAATAATCGAATAGGATGTCTGAATGCAGATATATTTCGAGGACTTACCAATCTGGTTCGGCTGTAAGTACCTTTTCATTCCTATGAAAATAATAAGACGGTATGTAGGCTAGTCTCCAGATGTTTGTGAACACCAGTGAGTTGCTCATTAAAGTAGCAGTTATGGTCGGGCACCGGTGGCTCCTGCCTGTAATCCTAGCTACTTAGGAGGCTGAAATCTGAGGATCCAGGCTCAAAGCTAGCTTGGAAGGAAAGTCCATGAAACTCTTATCTCCAATACACCACCAGAAAATGGTAGTTATGGAAGGAGTAAGGGAAGAGAAGTTCACAGTTACAGTCGTGGAGAAGAGTGGCTTCAGTAGCCATTATCCACATTAATTGAGATCAGGAATATCTCAGATTTGGGAACATTTCATATACATAATTAATTTATCTTTTCTATCTACTTGTTGTTGGTGGTGGTGGTGATCATGGGCCTCAAGTCAGGACTTGGGCACTGTCCCTGAGCTCTTTTGCTCAAGGCTAGTGCTCTACCACTAAGCCACAGTTCTACTTCCAGTTTTCTGGTGGTTGATTGGAGATAAAAGTCTCACAGACTTTCCTGCCCAGGCTGGCTTTGAACCTTGACCCTCAGAGCTCAGTCTTCTGAGTAGTTAGGATTACAAGTGTGAGCCATCAGTACTGGCTTCTTAACTTTATAATCATAACCTGAAGTTAATTTTGCATAGTATTTTTGGTAATTTTGTGCGTGAAATGAAGTTTTATATCGTGGAATCCACTGGTAGGGTCATGTTGGTGCTCAAAAAGTTGGAGTTTGGGTACATTTTGGATGTTCATATTATGGACCATCTCTTTCTCTCTCTCTCTCTCTCTTTCTCTCTCTCTTTCTCACACACACACACACAAACGCACATAGATTCGCACACACAGTGGATATACCGAAAAGAACATGCTCATGTTGAGCAATAAGAAAAAAAAATAGTCCAGAAGATTTGCAGGAAAGACAGATTTGATAGGAAAGACAAAAAACCAAATTGTGGTACATGGACAGGGAGAAGACGACATAGAACATGTACATCATCCTCTGACCATGGGGTTTGGAGTGAGTTGTTTAACTTTTCTGTTTTTTATCCATAAAGTAGGGTTAACTGTACCTCACAGTTATTTTAAGGATTAAAACTTAAGTTACCTAGAGCCATTCATCTCTATTATACTAGCATTGAGAAGAGCATTTTTCAATCCAGCAAATGGAAAAAGCATTTGATGAGTAATAGGCATGCAGAACTTTTTCAGGCTAGAATCAGAGATCTCCCAGATGAGTATGAAAATCAATCAAGAGTGGGTCACTGCTGTCATGAAGACCATAGCCCATCAAGTCTTGTAGCCAAGAAAGCTGGGATCCATCTGCACTCTAGCAGGCCTTTATGAGACTTGTGAAATACTTCTTATCATTTTGTGGGGGTGACTTTGGCAGTTCAAGTTAATGATTAAGAAAAACTACTTTTTCTAAGTGGGTCTGAGGCCCTGTGGATATGGCCAGGACAGGGGAGGTGGCTGGGGTATGAAATTGATTCTCTGTATTGATCTCCTTTATTCATGAAGCAAATGTTTCCAGGTTTTTACATTGCACAGTGGGGGTAGCTACCCAACCAAAGAAGCTAAATGATTCTCTGACCTTCACTTAGGAAATGAATTTGAAGAGCAGTTGTAAAGAGAGAAACACACTAAAAGCCTGGCTTAAAAAAAAAATGAATTATGGCAGAGCACTGGTGGCTCACGCCTGTTATCCTCGCTCCTCAGGAGGCTGAGATCAGAGAATTGCAGTTCAGAGCCAGCCCAGGTAGGAAAATGTGAAACTATTAGCTCCAGAAAGCCAGAAATGGGGCTATGGCTCAAAGTGGAGATCTCTAGCCTTGACCAAAAAAATTCAGGGATAGTGCCTAGGCCCTGGGTCCAAGACCTACAACTGACAAATAAATGAAATAAAGTTAGGATAAATTAAAAACCTATGGTTTTCCCCCGGATATTGCCTTAGAAAAATTATTTTTCCTATAAAAAGTGAGTCATCTTTGCATGTACTTGTCATACATGATTTTCTCTTTCTTTCTTTCTTTCTTTCTTTCTTCTCTCTCTCTCTGTCTCTCTCTCTTTCTTTCTTTCTCTCTTTCTTTCTCTCAGTCGTGGGGCCTGAACTCTGGGCCTGGGTGCTGTCCCTCAGCTCTTCAGATCATCTAGTACTCTACATTTGAGCCACACTGCCACTTCTGGCTGTTTCTGCTTATATGGTGCTGAGGAATCGAACCCAGGGCTCATTGTACATGATTTTCTTTATGCAAAAGCTTACACATATGTAGAAAATCCATAAATTATAGATGTGATTGGGTACTGTCACTATGTGAAAATCAATGCACAGCAAAAATGACAATTCCCTCTTCTGTCTTGGCTATCAACCTGAGGGAGCCCTCTGTTAATAACCCATTATATATATTGTCACATTTTCTTTTCTGTTACCCTCATATACATTTAAGGATATTTAAAAATGTCCTGTAATTGGCCCCTACTTGCTTAAAAATTATCAACATGTTAATGTCAACAGAATACTTCTTGGTTCAGTTCATGTTTGTTTGTTTTTTTTTCATGGCAACATACTTTTCCAGTGACAGGACAGAATACAATTTAGCCACTAATCATTCCTCTGCTTATGGGGATTTTATTTGATTATGTTTTCCTTCTTTTGAATTTCTACCCCAGGAGAACTATCTATATATTCACAGGTGATGTGTTATCTGTATGTAACTGGAGGAATTCTGTTTGGCAAGAAGAAAATGAATAAAAAATTAAAATTGTTTGAAAATTTTTATTTGCTGCATAACTAAATGATCCCAAGTATACACATGAAGTCTAATTTTAGTGGGAAATCAGTAATGTGTCTTAACTTCACCTAAGAGTTGATAGAAAAATCCTTATTGAGTACTAAAGTAGTTCATAGTTTTGCTTACTGATTTTTCATAAGGTTGAGAATAATTTTGCTTTTCATCTTCAAAGGAATCATTTTCTTGTTATTCTCTTCTTGTATGATAATTCAGACAATTATTACATAACCTTTCCATAATGACAGTAGCTCATTCAAGAAAAGATTAAGTGGTAGAGAAATGATGGATAAGTATTTCTAAAAATGAAATTATTATTCTTTTCCAGAAACCTTTCAGGGAACTTGTTTTCTTCATTGTCTCAAGGAACTTTTGATTATCTTGGCTCATTACGATCTTTGTAAGTAAAAGTTTTTTGTCCTGTTTAATATATGTCCATTTTTGAAAGTGAAAAACATTATTGTGGCTTAAGAAATTTTGTGAGGGATATTGTGTGAACTTGTCAAAAATTAGATACTTCTGGAAAACATGTATTGAGGTGGGAAAAAGATAAGATAACCTGAGCAATGTATTTCAGACCTAGATGGTTATTTTCTCCTGAGTACTGTTATCACCCACCCTATATCCAGGAAAAATGCATTTATAATTGTTTCTCTTCATCTTTGCTTTTAAATGAAATGTTTTTGTTGTTGGTAATTAAATCCCCATAGGATACACTCTTGTTCCCTATGAAGAATTTGTTGCAAGAAATATTTTATACTCTAAGGACTTAATTTTATCCCATAATCCCTGCTCCACACTGAATTTGCAATTTATTACCAATGTTTCTAGGGTTGTTTATTGAGAATGCCAGTTCAATGAAGTCAGAGTAAAATCTTTCCCCTCTCCCCCGCCCTGTTCTCTGAAGCTTTAGAATTTGTAGGGTTTGCAAGTGTGTGCATTTAATTTACTGGATTGATTTTTTTCCCTGGAAAAAATTTCTTGTTTACTAGCTGCTTCAGTTCATCATATTTTCACCTCCTCTTTGTGTTTTGTTTTTGTTTTTCTGGGCTGGGGATAGAACCCAGGGCCTTGAACTAACTGTATATAATTAGTACTCTTACACAGATCTACTTCCCTGGCTTTTTTTTCTGAAGTTGAGTTAGGTTGAAATGGATATGAAAGTAGTATTTTCATCTTAAAAACAAAACAAAATTTGAAAAAGCGAGGAGACGTTATCAGGGATTTTAGCATTATTAGGAACTGACTAAGGTGCTCTTTAGGAATTCGAACTTTTTTCAGGCCATTTTTTTTTGTATTATTTAAATTCGTTATCTCTTTGCTATAGTCCAGTCCCATCAGTTTTCTTTTTGTTTTTGATTGTTGGTTCTTTCCCCTCAAATCTAATGAAATAGACTCTGTACCAGTACACTCTGTGTTGGGGAGAATACACATTTGTGCTTGCTCTTTGTACATTGCTGGTGTGTAGAACACATTACATTCTATTTTAGTTATATTTATATTTCTTTCTGCTATTACATAATCTTGTTGACAGTGAGAAGTTTCTTAATAGTTATTTTTATTAGCTGGACATGGCATCATGCATGTCTTGTCAAAAAATATTAGTGAAAGGAATGGTTAGGAGATGACTATCTAAGCCTGCTCATATCTGGCTGTAATCTTTCTCTGTTTCATATTGCCAAGACCAGATTTTAAAATGTCTACTATAAAGACAGTTTTCCTTCTGATTAGGTATGAAAATAGCCTTATTTTTATTTTCTTTCTATTTATATCCTTTAAGTAGCCATGGTGTCACCTGGTACGTACGAGAAAAGTGTCAGAAGTTTTCTCCAACTTCATGGAGCTTGTAGTGTAGTCAGATGATCACAATGTGTAACCATCCCAAAAAGTTCTGTTTCCCTTCATGTTATTATTTTACTGCCATGGTCGATAAAAATGATGGTGGGTATTTAGGACAAGAAGGAAAATTATAAGAAGCTTCAGGATCCAGAATTATTGCTGTTTGTGAAACTCAGTACGGGCTTGACAAACAAGGGATGAGAAATTGATATTCCAGAACTCAAGGGTTCTAGAACTTGGTGCATAAGAAATGGCTACCCAAGAAGTAGTTTTCCTTTCCGATACAAGCTTTGATTAAAAGCAGAGTCCCAGGGTCAGTGGGTTGGAGCCCTGCGCCCTGAATAACAAGCCACTAGAAAGGAGAACATAATGAGCCAATAGGCATGGTAGAGTATTGTACTTTACCACAAAAATGTAAAGCAATGCAAAGCAAAAGTGCTATTTAATATTATTTATTGCAAGCCTAATGTGTGTGTTACAGAGAATTTCAGACTGAGTATCTTTTGTGTGACTGTAACATACTGTGGATGCATCGCTGGGTGAAGGAGAGGAACATCACTGTGCGGGACACCAGGTGTGTTTACCCTAAGTCTCTGCAAGCCCAGCCAGTCACAGGTGTGAAGCAGGAGCTGTTGACATGCGGTAAGGGAAGAGGCAAAGTGGAGGTAGTGTTAACTGTATTTTGACTTGCTGCTTTGTTTTGTTTCTTGACAAACTACAAGATTATTTTGATGGCACCAGAGTATGATTGTTGATCTTCAAGGATTTTGTAATATTTAGCTTATGCCAGCCTTCAAACCAACTAGATTGGAAAGCATATTTTTTATTGGTTTTTAAGAGTAGCTGTGCTTTAGTTCTGAATGATTGTCTTTATGAGAACATGTTTCAAAGCATAGCACAGACTATTTAACAGTTAGCCAATCAGAAATTTGTAAATCGTAATAAAGTCTCAGGATGCCCACATATTATTATTATTATTAGCAATTTTTTATTGTGATTAAGTGATTACATAAATTTCACAAATTTCCCAGCATTGTAGGATAGTGATACTTAGTTAAAGTCACAAACACAGTCTACCTTCATGAGGCAAATTGTCTTTATTGTGGTCTATGAAGTTTATGAGTTCTATGAGCTTTGACAATACAGTTATTTCTTCCACTTAAGGTGATATATATGTACATTTCTTTCCTTTTGCTTTTTGTCAGCTGTTCCCTCTTTCCTGCTTATTCCCTCCCTCTCATCGCTGCCATTGAGTTGCTTCGTTCATTTTGATCAATGTCCAGTGCAGCTGATGGGTCCCGCTGTTGTATGTTTACCCGTTTCCCTCTGTTTCTGTGTCCTCCTCTTAGTTTCCCTCCGATGTACACATATATGCCATATATGCGGTCAGCAGCATGGGGTCATTTAGTAATAATTCAACCAGATGAGTAGAGGTCCTTTATTTCTTGAGTCTTGTTTACTTTGTTTTAACTTCTTACATTTTGGATTTAACATCCACTTACCAGGGAGACCATGGGTCATTTGTCTCTTTGCTCTTGGCTTACCTCACTCAACATGATTTCTTCTAGTTCCATCCATTTCCCTGAGAATGCCATTGTTTTGTCCTTTCTAATGGCTGCATAATATTCCATTGCATATAGGTACCACAATTTTTGGATCTATTCATCTATAGTGAGTCATCTGGATTGTTTCCATATCCTGGCTATTGTAAACTGTGATGCAGTAAACATGGAGGTGCACCACACATTATTTTTAATGGCATATTTTTATGAGTTTGAAAGCATATCTGAAGATAAATAACATATTGGCCATATATTACAAGAAAAAGTAAAACAGATCATACCTTATAAAACAGTGATAATCTCCTCTAACATAATTCAGGGAGATTCCAGTGTTTGGAGATAGACAATATTTATTCCTTTCTTGTTGTCATTATTATTAATTTAACAAATAAACTATACTCTTTGAGTGAGCATTAAGATTTATGAAGAAAGGGCTGGGAAGGTGGCTCAGTGGTAGAATGCTTGCCTTGCATGCATGAGGCCCTGGGTTCAATTCCTCAGCACCACATAAGCAGAAAAAAAAAGCCAGAAGTTGAGCTGTGGCTCAAGTGGTAAAGTGCTAGCCTTGAGCTGAAGAGCTGAGGGACAGCACCCAGGCCTAGAGTTTAGGCCCCACGACTGGACCCCCCCCCAAAAAAAAAGCACTTTATGAAGAAAGCTAGACACTGGTAGCTCACACCTGTAATTCTAGGTATAAGAAGGCTGAGATCTGAGAATCACTGTTCAAAGCCAGCCTGGGCAGGAAATTCGGTGATACTTTATCTCCAACAAACTACTTAGAAAAAGCCAGAAGTGGTGCTGTGACTCAAATTGTAGAGCTTTAGCCTTGAGTACAAACAAATAGGCTCAGGGACAGCACCTAAGGCCCTGAGTTCAAGCATTCAAGCCCAAGGACCAGAAAAAAAAAAAAGATTTATGCAAGGAAACAAAAATTAGAAGAAACAGAAAAACAAAGCCCATGTCAACTCATATCTCTAAAACACAGGTAGGGTTGAGACCTTGGTGTATTAACTTTTGCACCTCTTTCCTGCATTTTCATGAAATGTTATCATACTTTGTAAATTTTTAGAAGTTGAAATAAGGTGTGCTTTGGTCTTCATTATATAAAAGAGATGCATACTAATGCATTGTAAAGACTGTCATAATTTACCAGCTTCCTTATTATGTATAGCTAGTATGTTAATAATTTCTCACTCTATAAATAATACAATGATTAATTGCTTTATATTTTTGCATATTTGCTATTTTTCTCTTGGAAACTACATTGCTAATAATAGAATTGTGTTCAACAAATGAACTAAGTAATTTAAAAGTTTGTAATGAGACAACAGTATTTGTGGACATTTTTGCGTATATATTTTTTTCCTTTCATTTTTCGGACTGCAAGGAGACATTATGTTTTTTAAAATTATTGTAAAATAGATGATCTTTTCTTCTTTTATTGTTTAAATGTTCTTAATTTTCCACAATAAATGTGTATTTTTATATCCAGAGTACAGTATTATAGTTAAAAATAACAAATGTCTGAAAATATATTTAACTATTAGCACTTAGTCACCCTTAGTTCCAGTCTCTAGATTACGTGTTGTTTTACAAGTTATTTGTTTAGTTTGCTTCTGTGCCTGTCTGATAGTGCTGTTGTGCCACCAACAGCAGCAAGTCTTACATATGAGAAATCAGGATGAAGTGGTTCCACTGTAATGTTACTTGCTTTAGTTTTCATCTGTTACCCACTTACCTTGGTCTTTGTTTTATTACTATAGTAAAACACTGAAGCTGCGTAACTGTAATGGCAAGAGATTCATTCAGCTCACAGCATTGGACGTTGATGATCAGGCTTTCGGAGTCCTCAGGGGGGATGATACCATGTGTGGGACCAGAATCACATTGCAGGACAAGGAGCCCTGAGAGCAATGTAGGGGTCAGGCTGTGACTGCTCTAACAACTCAGTCTTAGGAGAACAGCATTTCCTTTCCAGGGTAGACCCTCAAAGATTACCTAAGTGCTTCCCACTAGGCTTCATCCCTCACCTTGCCCAGGGCTGCCCTAGGAACAAGCTTCCAGACTCAAAAATCCCTGGAGTACATACACAAAGCTGAACATCACTAAAGTCAGTGTCAGCCTTACCAATTACCAAGGAATACTTGCTGTTCTGTTTTCTTTAGTCTTAGAAGAATCTGTGCAACTTTCAGCTATAGTGCATAGAAATAGATTGTATGTGTTTACTAAGTCTTTGTATCCTTTCTCTAGATCCTCCCCTTGAGTTGCCATCCTTCTACATGACTCCGTCTCACCGTCAAGTCGTGTTTGAAGGAGATAGCCTTCCCTTCCAGTGTATGGCTTCCTATATTGACCAGGACATGCAAGTCCTGTGGTATCAGGATGGGCGAATAGTTGAAACTGATGAGTCCCAAGGCATCTTTGTTGAAAAAAACATGATTCACAACTGCTCACTGATTGCAAGGTAAACATTTTAGATGAAGCATCTGTGTGGGTTGTATTTAGTCTTTTGGAGTTGTAGTGTGTAGTTGGAATTTGGATTGATATTTTATCTTGTGTTAAAAAATATATACATAGGGCATTTCTTTCCTCCCTGTCTACATGCATGTTTGAAAATGAATTACCTCTTTGTCTGGTTTTGAAACAAAAATCTGAATATAAAAGAGAAATACTTAAAATGTTACTTTTTCTGTTTAACATTTTGGGAGGAAAAAATGAAAACTTGTAATGCCAAACTTGGCTTCTATTTCCTATTACTAAGGTGTTGGGTTCAGTTTAAGGAGGTAACCTCATTTTCACTATTTTGCCCTGTTTTTAATGCTAAATTTAAGAGTTCTTCCTTTCCTTACCTACTGTATAAAGGAATATAACATCTGAACTGCCAAGTCCATGATTGGTGTGGGCATCAAATTAGTTAATTTGAATGAGCTTTGTAAACTGTAAAAAGAAAAAAAAGGGCATATAATTAGAGTATATAATTAGAGTGGGATGTAATTTCCAAACTGCCAAGGCAGAGGCTATAAAATACTGCCGAGAAAGTAAAGATTCTCTGAATTGAGATTTAGTTCTTGAAACTTCTAGGGGTGAATTTTCTATTTTATAATTTCTTTCTTGGGACTTCTTCCCTGCTTGTTAGAAGCACATTTTCATGTATGTCTTCTAATATTTAGAGCAGCTGCTTTTAACCTTATCCTCTGAGTCTAGCATATGAATCCTTATGACTGACTACTTTTCTTTTGACTATAGCTGATACTTTACTATATATTATTTAATTGTTTACTTGTCTAGTAGTGATGTTGGGTCATATCTCAGACACG